TTTGTTTGTGCCCCCCCCCATTAAAATACCTTGGTCAACTAGTTACTCTCCTTGTGTTAAATGTCTGTAATGTTGAGAAACGCCAAATCCTGTGTTCTCAATGAAGTTCAATTGCTGTCAGGATAGCTCTGCTAAAAACACTCATCTCTATCTTGAGATAAAATTTGCATTCTTCTAACATCTGCTCACAGGTTGTATTCTGCCCCTCGAGGCCCGTCAGAACAAGTCGTTCACATCATAGTCCTTTAAAGACATAATGAGAGTGATTGTGTTTCTCTAGGTCTTTTCCTGGCTAAAAATTCCCTATTGCTTTTCTGAGGTGTACATATGACATAGTTTCAACTCATGTCACTATTTCAAATATCTCTGCTAAGTATGCTCCAAGTGATAAATCTTTTTTGAAGGGTGATACCTATAACCGGGCAAAGCTTTACAGTTGAGGTCCTTTGTACACAGTAAGAACCAGAACAACTCAATTCACTGAAACTTAGGTGAATTCAATTGTACTTAACAAATAGAAATTCAGGGCCACCCTATCAGCTCCTCGTGACCCAGAACTTACCTGACTCACTCTAAAATCAATCTAGCCTATGAATTCAGATCTCATACTTGGACAGTATCTATACATAAAATAGCCACTGTAAAGGTTTTTTTTCTTTCTTTCTTTCTGTCAGTTACAGCTCAAAGTAATTATACTGTCTTTTTTCATCTTATTAAAAATAAGACACATCATATTAAGAAAAATATCAAGAAGTTGTTGCCAAAATCCTCCCTGCCCTTTATGAACATAAAATGATTTATCATTCTAGTAACCTTCTCTCTCATGTATATACTGAACAAATATTTATTGAACATCCAATATATATTTTATTTCTCCTAGGTACAGGGGATATTAATAGTGAATAAGGAAGATCAAATCATTGACTTCATGAACTTTCTTCGTATGTAATATATATAATAAAGGTAACAAATTAACATCAAATATAACTTCAGGTTGTGATATAGACTCTAAAATAAGCAAGTATGGTAACATAATAAGTCATACCTGGAGGAGTGATTTAGGGAGAAGGGAGATTGATCTCTGAGAAGATGATATTTAAGCTGAGTCCTCGTAAATTGAACATAAAAGAAATTGTGCATATGGCCATATGGGAAAAGAACACTGGGGAATTACGAAGTGCAAACTCCCTACTAGGTGGAAAGGGGGTTACTATGTTCTAGAAACACAAAAGGAACTATGTAGAGATCTAGTGGGTGAAAAAATAATAATATGGAGTGGGGTTGGAAGTTAGGCAGTAGGAAAAGCATATAGGTCTGATTAAGCTATTAAAATAGTCTGCATTTTAAAAAGCTAAGGAGAGCGATTTTTCTGATAAACACCTTTAAAACTTTATCTTTTACAGAGATATGAGTGTAGGCATGGAGACTATATAGAATGACATTTCTGTAGTCCAAGATAGAAATGATGTTAGCATAGGCTAAGATGTTGACAAACAAGCTGGAGAGAAGTATATAGATTCAAGATAGATTTTTTTTGCGAAATGATAGGACTTGTTAATGAATTAGGTAGGAAAAACAGCCATTAGATATCATTCCAACATCAACTTCACCAAAGCAGGCATTTTTTAGCATTTGTTTTCTTTACTATTTTCTTTCCAGATGCATTAATAGTGCCCACCACATAGTAAATGTTCAATAAATAATGAATGAATGAGTAAAGAAAACCTCCCAGGTTTTTAATCAGAGCTATGAGGTGAATGGCTGTGTCATTAACTAAAACTAGGAACTGAAAGAGAAGTGGAATAAGATGAAGATGGAGAAATTAAAAGTTTCATTTAGGCTATTTTAAGTTTTAGATGTTTTCTAGATATCAAAGTAAAGATACCAAAGGAAAAATTAGGCATATGTGAGTCTGGTTTTTCAGGGGAGATATTTGGTCTGGAGAGAAAAAATTGGAAATCAAAAGCAGTAGAAGATATTCAGAACCACAATGTTTACTAAAATAAATAATTAAAAAACAATATCTCTGAAGGACAACTTTTTAAAAAGATCTGATTATGGAGACACAGTAGTCCTCCATTCTCTGCAGAGCATATGTTCCAAGACCATTCAACAGATGATTAAAACCTCAGATCGTACCAAACCCAGTTATCATCAATGAGAACACATTTTCCGTTCATGTCTTCTGCCCAAAAACTTAATGCCTTTTCCATCTTATCATTCACTGTGGCCATAACTTTTGCAATTTGAGGTGCGACAGCAAAATGAGCATTAATTTCTTTTTCCTTCTTCACAATTTCAGAGAGGATCCGTTCTTACCATGGATTTTAGCAACCACAGCATATGATTTTTTTTTTTTCATATCTGAATTGCCAGAGTCACTACTCTTGTATTTTGGCACCATTATTAAGTAAAATACAGGTTACTTGAACATGAGTACTGCAACAGTTGATTGGATAACCACGATGGCCGGTAAATGAGTAACAGGAAGGTGGTATTCACGGCATGAATATGCTAGACAAAGGAATGATTCATGTCCTGGGTGGGACAGAGAGAGATGAAGAAAGGTTTGATCGCAATATGGGGAATTACATGCAATTTAAAACTTATTATTTCTGGAATTTTTCATTTAATAGTTTTGGTCTACAGTTGACTGAGGGTAACAGAAACCATCAAAAGCAAAACAGCAGACAAGGAGGATTACTGTAGATGTAACATGTTTATTAATGGAAAGATTCAATATCTTAAAGGGGTCATTCTCTAAAATAAGCTATAATTCAAAAAATTTTAACGTTTTAAATCTAACTTCTAATGTTTTTTCATGATACTTGATAAGTTAATCCCAAAAGTTATATAAGTATTAAGAATGACAGCTATAATTTAAAGAAAAAAAAAACCAGGATGAGCCAGCTTGCCTAGAAGATATCAGGATTTAATGTAAAACCATGCTTAAAACATTATGATACTGTTACAGGGATAGAGAAATAGACCAATGGAACGGAATAGAAAGTCCAGAAACTTGTGTACCTTGAAATGTTTCACTTTGTCTATCAACCTATCTTTACATGTGGAACAAACTAAAAATAATTATACATTGTTATATATGTATTATATATATATTTAATGCATTGTATAAACTTGTATATGTGTATGTGTATTTATGTTTATAAGTATATATGAACATGTATACAAATATATATTAGACAATGGAAATATTTGTAAGTCTTCATGGGATATGTGTGAAACAATGGTAGAATTTCACAGTAATTGAGAAAAGATCAACTATTTAATATATGATGGTGGCCCAAATGTCAACACTACAAAATGAAACGATCTCTACCTCATGTTAGACATAAAAATATATTTCAGAAGGAATAAATATCTGTATGTTGAATAATAAGACTTTACTCTTTTAACAACATAATGTGGGGAATGCGTGACATATTTGTTGGTAGAATGTCTTAACAAGGCAAAAAACCACAAACCAGGGCACACAGTAGGTGCTCCATAACTACATATTAAAATAACTAAAAGATAAATCATATGTTACGTTAAAGTTCTTAAAGTCTGCGACTGAAAAATTATTTTTAAAATTTTTCAAAAGACATGGGCAACAGAGATATTTTTAACAAACCTAAGCAAATTAATTACAAAAAAGACAACCTAACTAAAATTGGAAAATTCGTAAAGGATGTAAGCAAGTCACCGAATTAAAAAGTCAAATAGTCAATAAATATTTGTGAAAAGAATGTTCTCACTAGGAATCAGAAAATTACACATTAAAACCAATGAGAGATACTTAATACTTTCAGATTGAAAAGGCATTTTAAAAAGTGATAACCCTGAGCGTTATCCACAATGTGCAGAGATGAGAACACTTACAGAGTGTTGATGGGAGTATATTTCATTCAACTACTTTAGAGACCTCGTTGGAGTATTCTGTTCCCTCTGGAGTTTCATAGAAAATTGACATCAGTTGGGAGATCTCAGCTGCAGGTCCTCTAGCCTCCACTTTTCCAGCTTGTTCTTACTTGTTAATCAACATTAAGTCCAAAGATGAAGTTTCTTTCACAGTTTCCTCAATATTCTTAGAGATGAAATTGTCAGCAAGGCAAATCAAGAATTTAACACATGCCCCACTTTTTGTAGAATGAGAATCTCAGGAGACATCCAGAGAATTAAAGTCCCTAATCTTTGTTATATTTCTCATCCTTATAACATCTGTGGTCTTCATTAGGAAGTATCCATATTATTTCCTGCTGCTTCTCAGACAAGAGTGTTTAAATTGCCCTATGTGTATGTTGATTCATGGCTTCAAAACTATTTGTCATGTAGAAATAATTCCCTAAAAGTGTGTCACTCTTCAGATTTTAAGAAACATCTGAATTACTGACAAGAAAATATTTCTTAACTTTTTTCAAACACATATCTTCTTTGATAAAAGAAAAAAAGAGTCAATCCTTTCAACCCATTTGAAATTTCAAAATAAATAATCACTAAAAACAAATCAAATCATTTGGACCAAGCACCATTGCCTCAGGAGATTCCAATATGGCCACTTAAGGAATGTCAGTCTTTTTCTCTATTCTCTTTTTAAGAATCACCTTAGGACAATTCAGTCCTCCATGCTTCAAATAAACATTGTGGCCAAGCACGGTGGCTCACGCCTGTAATCCCAGCACTTTGGGAGGCCAAAGTGAGCCGATCACTTGAGGTCAGGAGTTTGAGACCAGCCTGGCCAACATGGTGAAACCCCATCGCTACTAAAAATACAGAAATTAGTCAGGCATGGTGGCGCATGCCTGTAATCCCAGCTACTCAGGAAGAAGAGGTTGCAGTGAGCCGACATTGCACCACTGCATTCCAGCCTGGGCTACATAGTGAGACTTGGTCTCAGAAAAAAAGAAAAAAAAAATAGTGTATTTTCATATGCATAAAAGCATTAGAAATTAATTATATATAATTTTACAGACAAAAAGACAGTAACTTAGTTATCATACCTGTGGACACAAGGTTTCCAAATGATTGGCTGCAATTTTGACAATTTTAATTCCATCTTCATTTGTTGACATGGAACAAGCAAGATTTGCCACCTTAAATACAATCCAAAATAATGAAAATTATTTTAGATTATCAAGGAAATGCAGCAACACTTATACTGAACAAGAACATGTACACATTCATTGAGAATCTCAATGACAAAGAATTTTCTCAAAAACATCACTGATATCCATTTTATGAAAGAATTCAGATAATCTATCAAAGCAAATAACAATAGAAGGACCTATTGTTTAAAATGAGGAGAGACTAGTGAGTGAATCTGTAAACCCTGTACAGTCTCTTGGTATCAATATCTAACCCATAATAAGAAGCTATTATGAGACTGGAAAAAAAATGTTTATGGATTGAATGCTAATAGGTTTTTGGAATCTCATATGATTGTGATTTATTTTAAATTAGTAATTGGTTTATTATTTCCCAGAGGTCTATTACTCATATATTTAAGTTGCATTAAGTATGACTGTATATTTATATGTTTTGTTTGTATCAAATACACTACAAAGCTGAACAAGATACTTAACTTCTTCCTGCGCTTGATTTTCCACTACAACTTCATGGGTACTGTTTGACATTCCAGCAGTGCATTTGATTCAAGCATTAGTGACACCCAAATTTCTCTTATATTATTGCTTTTGAAATTTACATTTTCTTCCAACAAAATGAGTGCTCTTTTAATTACCATTATGTCCATGACCTAAATCCAAGGTTTATAAATACTTTCTTCCAACCATGAAAGAGCCACAATAAAGAATGGGAGATTATTTTCCCTTCCTCTGAACCCCGCTCTTGTTCAACATTCTTCTTACTAACAGAGTAAGGCTTATGGACAGAGGCAACGTTTTCTCTGATCTACAAAATATATCATTATCTTTATCATTGCAAGGAGATACTTGATCTAACAATAATTTTTCTATCTTTTAAAATATCTCTGTCAATTGTTTTATACTTTAACACATTGCAGTTTTTCCTGCTAAGATCTAAAATACATCCAGTTGTGGAGAAACCACGCATTAGCCACATGCAGTAGAAATAAACAACATATGACTTTGGATCACTATTTTAAGAGTACCACAAAATGTTATTGAAATGGATTTACAGCATTTGCTTTTTTATAACATTTATTTTAATATGCCACCAGTGAAATAACTCCTTGGTTTTCATTCACATATAATGAAATAACAGCCATACATTATTTAACTGTGGAAGGGCATTGTTCACTTCATTAATGTACATGGGGATGACTTACTTGAAAAGGTCTTTTGTTGGCTTGAAGGTCACCATGCCTCAACTTTCATATCTGACATATAATTAGCACATTTGTGAGTTATTTGAAAAGGGCAAATTTTTGTGCCCCTTTCTACTCCCCAAACCCCAATCACTAAAAGTGAAATTTGACAGTTTAATTGCTTTAAATATGTATTATATTAATTCACAATGCATTTGCAAAAAATACTGACCTGTAAATTTGAGCACTGTTTGTTTAAAGTAAAAAAAAATAAAAATAAAAATCATTGGCTCAATGTGGTCAAATTACAAGAATGATGGTTAACCCAAAGCTTAGAAATTACATAAAACTGTCCCTTTGTAGATACTCTTTTACTTTACTTACTCATATTTAATGTATCCTCATTTTCTTCTTTTTCCTTTTGAAAATATGCATTCTTTTTCCAGACATTGGCTGGCCACTAGGCTTATTAAAAGCCAATTAAGTGACTGACATAGTATGGAAATTATGTTAAACACAGTTTGTGTCCATATTTAGAGGATTAATTTTATACAACCCTCTAATGAAAATACAACACAACTGAAAGTTGTGTTTTCTACTTGAAGTTTTCTTTTCAGTCTCATCATACTAACACTCTTTTTGTCTTCATTTATTCTAAGCCTGCACATACCTGAACTTCTCCTTACCAGAACTGTTTTGTCAAATAGTTTCTACGTAATAGAGTATATTTCAAGGTATGTGCAGTTTTAGTGCTATTTTGTACAAACAAGGTCGAATTTTAAGATGCTTAGTATCTGTGACAAAACAGACAAGTGTTAGAAATAAACTATCTTTACATTTCAAATGTGAATGATTTTGTGACGTATTTTCTAACGTGACATCCATGTGTGAATGAAAGCTAAATTTCTTCTAATGATGATTCTTCCTAAATTCTGCATGGCTCTTTAGTCAAGTATGTTCCCAAGAACAGTAGAAATGTAATTCCCTTCTGGTCAAAGAATACAACCTGCAAATAAGATGTTTTGTAAAAATAGTTTTAGATATTTGGACATTTGATATCCTTTGTGTATCTGGGAAAAATTTGGGCAAAGCTTTGTTACTATTCATAAGATCTCTGTAGCATGTTTCTGCTCACTAAGGGAAACAACGATATCGGGAGTTTTTGGAGACAAACAGATCTGGGTTTGAACCCAATCCCACAGTTAATAAGCTTCTGATCATGAGCAAGATAATAAATTATTTGACCTTGTTTTGTCACCTATAAAATGGGTATGATAATGACTACCTCACTGGGATGCTTTGAGAAGTCAATGAGAAAATGTATGGGGAGAGTCTGATACCTGGTGGCCTTCACCATGTATGAATTGCCTTCCATTTAATCTATCTCTCAACTAATGGAAAAGAAAAAGAAAGAAAGAAAGAAAGAAAAGAAATTTCATTCTCTCAGAGGTTTTGTAGAATGGAAGCCTTAGGAACCTAAAGAAATTTAACAGTATATCTGACCCAAGAGCTACAAACTCAAATGCTTTCAAGAGCCCTGCAGGGGATACAAACATTGAGTCTCCATTGACTCAGCGGTAGGGTGGGATGGTGGGTCCCCAAACAAAATGATTGTGTATGCCCCACTGAAAGGCATTTGTTAAAACAAGCCAAATGAAAGGAAAAACTCAATGTCTTAGCCAAACTAACGTCTGTTGGCTTACTTTAGTTCATAAGTCACCATTTTGTGACCTCTAACCCCACTCTCTAATCCTATATTGTATAAATAAGAAAACAAAATTAAGCAGGGGGATAAAACATACTCAAATCAACCAATGGCAGGGCGACTATTAACTAGCGATATGTGTGTGTCTTTTTTGCTACCCTGAAGAAAGTCTTGAAAAGCATTCTTGCAGTGAAATGATTGACCAGACTTTTTATTGATATTGTACTACGGCCTTCACCAAGTCTACAAAAAGCAGAAGCTAAATTATCCTAAATAAACGGGACGAAAGGTAGTTAGTTAAATTTACACATTTATTGAAAAGAAAAACCTGGGACAAAATGTTCTTTCATTTTTTACAAAAGATTAAATTATATCCTTAAAATAATTACCAATATTGTAGTAATTTAAAAACAAACAAGAAGTCTTCAAACAGGGATATGGGTCTTGATATGACAGGAGAGTGAAGTTTTGTATTAGCATCCCTCTCTTGCAGCTCTTTCCTTCCCACCATTTCTTCTGTCCTCTAAAACGTATGGTATATTCTAGGCCCTTTAAACATAGCTGACCTTACTGCCCTATTTGGGCTCTAAAAAACATTGTAAATGAAAACGCCTGGCCAGACAATTCCTCACCTGAACAATCGTGTTGATGTTTGTTCCCTTCTTTCTGGTTCCCAGTTCATTTTTTAATTAATTAATTTAGAGATATAATCTTGCTCCGTCACCCAGGCTGGAGTGCAGTGGCTCGATCTAGGCTCACTGCAACCTCTGCCTCCTGGGCTCAAACAATCCTCTCACCACAGCACCTCAAGTAGCTGGGACTACAGGTGTGCGCCACCACACCTGGCTAATTTTTGTATTTTTTGTAGCGACAGGGTTCTGCCATGTTGGCTAGGCTGGTTTCCAACTCTGAGCTCAAGCGATCCATCCGCCTCAGGCTCACAAAGTCCTAGGATTACAGCCATGTGCCAAGGTACATGGTCCAGTTCTGTATACTAGTTAGTATGTTTCTGTCATGATTTCCATTTGCTGGACTTTGAGTCTTTCCTTTCACTCAGCAGAGAACATAGTATCCTTCACTCTCTAACCCAGGGTTTCCGGTGAGAAATTCCCTGTTGTGGAGCCTGGCGTTGTAGAATCCTGACCCCTAGGCTAGTTCCGTCCCTCACTCTCTATCAAGGTCAGGAGAATGACTATGCTTGACATAAAAGAATGACTCACTAGTGGTAGAGCCAGGGACAGCAATAAAACAGATATTTTGAGATGGGGAATTTCCCCAATGACCCTTTACAAATATCTACTATAGTATAGGTTAAGTCTGCTTTTCATCATTACTTTTTTCTAATCTGGTAAAGCTATTCTATGTTAAATATATTGAATGTCAGCGCATGGTATGTTTTAACATTCTAGTATTAAGTTTTATCTGAAATCTCAGGAGCACTGGTAGTGTTCTCAGTCATCTTAAGACAACTGAAATGGAATCATTGTTAGGAATGAGTACACTATTTGGACAGCTGCTTATCACACATCATTCAGTCTGTTACCAAGAAGTTCCCACATGGATATTTACCTGTAATATGGTCTCTCCAGAACACGAAGCAAACCTTGATGTTTGCTGAGATTTTCATTGTCACACATTCATTGTTTATATATTGTTCACATAGTTAATTGTTATATCATGTCACCACGTGCCCTAGCTCTCAATGGGGGAGAAAGGTCACTGTCTCATTTTCATGCATTTTCCCATCTGGCAGTTGGTCATGCAACTCTTGTGTAAACACTTGCAGAGACAGAGAATTTACTGTCTTGCAGGGCAGTCTAGTCCCACTGCAGGACAGCCCAAAGTCACAAAGTTACACAAGTTATGAAGTTCTTCTTTATAAGGAGATGAAATATTTCTCTCAACTTTCTCCTAGTTGTTCTAGAATCCAGAACGGCAAATATATTTGATAATGGAAATAAAATGGGGTCTACAGAAAATTCAAATCAATAGTCCTCATATTGTGGGATAAGAGAGATGGTAAGAATAATAGAATCACTAGTAAATAACTATTAAAAAGAAAAGTTCAATTCCCTTCTGTCAAGATATTCTGATTTATTAAG